TAACCAAAGTTCCTATGTCCAGAATAATTCTCATTCTCACATGTGATGTATATATGATGATGTATGATATGTAACATGTGAGACAGATTTTTCAATAAAAGTTATGTATGAACCTACTTATTTTATAATTTATTTGATTTACCTACATATAAATCTGACGTGATTTTAAGCATAGGAGAGAAACTATTCTTTTCTTAAATTTAAAGATTTACTATATATATATATATATATATATATATATATATATATATATATATATTCAGAATCTCGGAAACGGCTCCAACTTTTTTCATGAAATTTAGTGTGAAGGGGGGTTTCGGGACCAATAAATCGATCTAGGTAGGATTCATGCTTAAGAAACTTCGTTTTATCCGTGTTTTCAGGCAATGAAAAACTGCTACTATATGATTAGAACATGAAAGTAAATTTTGCCGGCGCTTTACGAGATATAACAGCTAAAAAGGGATAGCGGGAGGTCGCGATATCGTAGTACCGCGATTCGATTCCAGGTGTCTTTGGTCCGTCTTTTTTTCCTGTTTTTTCAAGTTCTCTTCTTTTGTGAGAAAATCTATTATTTCGAGCACTTTTTTAGTATTTTTTCTAAAAACACGAAAAATTATATTAAACTTATTGCACCCATGATTTTTTATTTAAATAACTAGTTCAGCTTTTTTTATTATTTCGGTAAAGTCAAAAATATTATTGATATTTCATCAGTATGTAAATTGTATTTAAATATATTTTTCAAAAACACGATTTCCAAAGAACATACCGAGCTACGCTCGGTTATCCAGTTACTTTATGTTAATGATTATGCGATAGAATATGAATATATTATATAGACAAACTAGTATTATAAACAATACGAAAAAATATTTACGTAGGCCTCCTTTTGAGCTGTCTCATAATGGGGATATTTACTAAAGTTACTCGCTTGGCAGATGGGTTGACATTTCCAATTTTTATTTTCTAGTTGTTGTTGCCCATCTCATGGTTCCTTTTCCTTAGTCTCCTCTTATGGGCATTGTGATGAATAGACAACGTTAACCATATATACTCAGCACTTGAAGGAAAGTAAGGCTGCAGAATAATTTCCAAATCCTTACGTGTCACAATCAAAACGCCACCACCGTATTCCTGGCAAGTGACATACAACATATTGTAACGCTTCCCTCCCCCCCCCTCTATATAAAAATAATATTATTATATGAAATATAATTAATATAATTCATTTACCCCTTTTCAAAAAAAATTATATATATGTGACCAGGATAAATAAGATATGTTTTGATCTTTCTAAATGATCTTTCTAAAGGTTTAACATTAGGCCGTTTGTAATATTTTGCCGTGATCATCTTAGTTAGGACCCTTATTTACGTTGTGTTTGTTTAGTAACTTAGTTCTTTTAGGTGTCTTTTGTAAGAATGAATATTCACTAGAGCAATTGAAAGCTGTTGGTAGTGCCTTATAAGCTAAGTGAACCCCGTTCACGAAGACAGAGCTCGAGAAAGGTTAAGGACATAAAACGTCCCTATTCCACTTGTATCAGGTTTGCATTATTAATTTATTACTAACTATCCCTTCCCGTTTGGACAAGCGGGAAGGGACTCACAATATATTTATACAAAATTCCCGATACAAGGGCATCGCTCTCCTACATTTATTTAAAAAAATGTAGGGGAGGCATACGGCCCCACACACGCCGTGCACTGTGAGCGCCAACCATTTTGATGCACTCCCCTCGTAGGGAACGCTAATTCGGGAACTGGACCGTAGTCCACAGCAAAATAACTGGCGAACCAGTAAAAGAGGCTTGGCGTTGGCTTTTGTTAGTGCGTAAGCACAAACATTGACCGAAGTCGCGCATGTCAATGCGTGTAAACGCCATACAGAATACGAACGAATCCAGCCACAGTGCATGTACGTCACACAGTTTAGGCAAATAGGCACACTGGCCGTAAACCCTCCGTGAGCGCGAAGTGTATGGCATCACCACCAATTGCATGATCAGCACGGCTACTAGCCGCAGAGCGTGTCATGAGTCTACCGCTCACCTCAAGGGAATGGGGTCCCACGTTGTGCGGCTTTCGGCCGCAGCCTTGAGAGTCTCCTCAGATCCACCAGCTACCAATATAGCCAAAAGGCAAAGTTTGTATCACTGACGTTGAGTAAATGCATTTTCGATCATCCCCATACATTCCAGCAGACATCACTACCCGCATACCTTCATCGACCAGAACCACAAGAGTGCGTCGAATCAGGCGCAGCACACCCGCAGATCCATTACAAGACGCAATACCGCAAGTAGCAGTAAGCATCAATGCAACTATCATACGGATGCCGCCCCCTCACAACACACCCACATGATCCCTATCGACTTTGGTAACAAAATTTGTATTGTTGTTAACTAAAAAATATCACCACTTATCATAGTAGTACGCTACTAAGACGCCAATGAACAAAACTCCACGTACCATAGAGCTAATGCACTAAGACATGAATTTGAGTATGCCTGTTACACTTAAAAGTGCTACCAAACACACTCATCATCCCAATCCGAAAGATAGACGACGCATCGCTATGCGCTACGACGCCGCCCACAAACGGTATGGGTGTGCGATGTCCACGGGAAAGCCGTATTGCTATAACAAACCCGCTTACCACCGGCACTAAGATTGTTGTTATATAAAACTGCACCCACGTATCATAGTATCACGCTACTAAGACGCTAGTGGACTAAAACTCCACGTATCATAGCGCTAATGGACTAAGACATGAAGTTGATATGCCTGTTACACAAATTAAAAATGCTACCAAACACACTCATCATCCCAATCCGAAAGATAGACGACGCATCGCTATGCGCTACGACGTCGCCCACAAACGGTGTGGGTGTGCGATGTCCACAGGAAAGCCGTATTGCTACAACAAACCCGCTTACCACCGGCACTAAGATGGTATGTCTAGGACACATCGGTTAGCGAGCCCAAGTTTACCTCGGACTAATTGCTCGTGAAGCAGCATACACGCCACCACAATATTCCTTTCAACGTCCCTAATAAGGACTAGTAATTTTGCTACAGTACTAGGAGCAGTCGGTCACCCGACCACCCCATACAATGCTTATGCATCAAGGAGACCTCCTATAATATTGCTTTTGTATCATAGACCTTACTTTCATAAGTAATTCATATATAGGATTCGAACCCACGACCCTACTATTGTAATGCAAATTCATCATGGAGACCTTCTATAGTATTGCTTTTGTATCATAGACCTTACTTTCATAGGTCATTCCTATATAGGGCTCGAACCCACGACCCCACTATTGTAATGCAAATTCATCATGGAGACCTTCTATAGTATTGCTTTCGTATCATTGAGTTTAATATCATAAGTCCCTAATATAGGACTAGTAATTGTGCTACATACTTCAGGCAGTCGGGCTCCAGACCACCCCATATATATGTACAACTGCAGGTATGTATCTCCATCAGCTCCTCTATACAAGCCATCTATACATGAACACCTTCCATAACTTAGGAAAATTTTATTTTATACGTTAACTCCTTCCACAACTTAGACAATTTTTAACAAATTTTCTAATTATCTTATAAACGTTATTTATCTTTATTTTTATAATATTTTCGACTTGTATTTCTATTGTTTATCATGTTTTAAATATTTTTACAAGTTTTTATAATAAATTTATTTATTATGAAAGCCAATATTTTGTCTTTAATTTACTATGTTATTGGTCTAATGTCTGAAATATATTTATATTAACTTTATGCTTATTAATGTAATTTTATTGCTTAATATGTATCTTTTAAGACTATTTTTGACGCCCCTTTATATTGAATTTAATTATTAATAATAATATTGGGCCGTCATAATATCAATACATACAACATTATACACAAGACACATATCAATACATGCAACATTACATACAAGACATACAACATATCGGTAATCAAATAATTCCGTATCACTAATTCTGTCCAGAAGCCATTCCAGCCAAGCTTCATTATTAATATTATTTCATAATGACGTATATGAATATTACGATAAAACAGGTTGGTTTTAGTACTTAAGCCTCTTGCATTTTTATGATATATTCTTAAGTTGTCACTACTATACTCTACATCTATACCTATTATTACTATTTAGCACAGCCATTTTTAGGCTTAGGCTAGGGTTATTGGGAACTCGACAACTTACTGGAACGGCGTGGTAGGGGTGATAGGTGTGATGGACTCAAAATGCTACAAATTGACCCCCCATATGTATGACTGAAAATGAACAGGTATTGAGTTATACGGATTTTAATTATTTTTCAATAATAACCCAGAATTTCATATTAAATTCTAAATAAACATGAAACCATTATTGTATATTTTTATTTTTAGTTTTATTTTATTTCGAAGTTTCAACCGAGAAAACAATCATAAAAAGTCCAAAAAATTTTCACAATAAAAACATTTATAGGTCTAAATAAACATTTTTTTCTATTTTTTACACTTTAAGTGGTAACATAAAATGTTACGTACTTCAAAAAATTACTATGACATGAGACATAAACTTACTACAAAAAACATGCCCATTTGATCAGCTATCCAAAAAAGTAACAATATCCCAGTGAAGTCAGTGAAGAATAATAATACAAGGGTCTTTTACTTAACGCAAAAACGGCAAAGAATGATTGCTCTAAAGGAACGAACTTGCACACTTTTAGTCACTTGGCGTCTGATTGGTTGTTAAAAATTATTCAGAAAGCAGACGGCTATTTTAAATTGAGTTGTAGCGATGACCTTTAGTTAGTTTCGACATTTGACTATCGCTGTGCAAGCACTTGTTTAAACTTCCTTCTAATAAACTCTCATCGCGTCATCATCATTTGTAATTGTTTTCAGTCATTATCGTTATTGTTATTTTTGTTGTTACCATTATCTGTTACTGACTGTTCATTGTTACAGTTTATGTGCGTTGAAGTTAAAATGGAGTCATATTCTAATAAAGAATATGCCGACATTATGTACTGTTTTGCTGACGGCAACGCTGCTGGGGCTCATAGAGAATATCAACGTTGCTTTCCTGATCACCGGCTTCCCCACGTTTCTGTCTTCGGAGCTACCTATCAAGGATTAAATGAAAGCAGCACTATTCATAGAAATCAAGTAGATACTGATAGACCACGACGTTTAATGGCTGACGATGAAGAAATAATTGTGCAACATTTTATTTACCACCCTAACGTTGTGGTACACTGGCTCGATATGTCCGAATGGAAGGTATGTTCGGTGGTACACCTATCATGCCGACGTCCGTACCATTATCAACCGGCACAAATGCTGTACGAGAGCGATCCAGCGAGTAGACTCCAGTTTTGTCGTTTCATGCTGAACGCCAACGCAGGCGGAGAAAATTTTTTAAGAGACATTCTAAATACGGATGAGTCCAAATTTGACCGAGATGGTATTACAAACTGCCATAATCTTTATAACTGGGCACTAAAAGTGAACAGAACTCCAAAAAAACTTAAAAAACAGCGTCACAGGGCAATTTTTCTTTGAATGATGTTTATTGTAAATGACAAACTTATTGGGCCTTATTTTATGCCACAAAATTTTGAACGGAGAAATTTACGAATTTTTTTAGCGAAATGATTAGGAAAACTTAGTAGCAGATGTTCCAGAAGAAATAAAAGTAATCTGAAATTAAAAGTAATTTGATTTATCACCATGACGGCTGTCCAGCCCACTTCCGGTTATCTGTTAGAAGAGTGGCTAAATACCCAAACAGGTGGTTTGGGAGGGGAGGGCTAATTCCGTGGCCTGCACGAAATCCTGATCTGACGCCAACAGACTTCTACGTTTGGGGTAACATGAATGACTTAGTCAACGTGACCCCAGTGAATTCTCTAGAGAACTTCGAAGGTGTAGCTTAAATACGGCAGAGCAGATTATGGCTACAATATCGTCAAAAATAACGAAAACAGATAACGAAAAGTTAGGAAAAAAATCAGAACATGTATCCGCTACCAAGGGGTTCACATTGAGCAAGAGCAAGTTTAATCTTCAAAAATTTTAGTACAAAAATTGTTTAAGTTTAGAAATGATCCACGTTCGGTTAATTGGCTATATGTTATGAATGGCTTATTAAATGGGCATTTTTCAAAATATTTTTATGTCTCATGTCGTAGTAATTTTTAAGTACGTAACATTTTATGATACGTAGTGTAAAAAAGCAAATTAAAATAATAATATATTAAATCTCATAATTTTTATTGTGAATACTTTTTATTCTTTTTATGATTTATTCGCTTGGTTGAAGCTTCAATGAAATAAATAAACGTAAAAGAAAGCATACAAAAAAGGTTTTTTTTATGAACTACTTATGAAGAACTAAGATTATTAAAAACATTCAAAGTCTGTATATCTCATGACGTGTTCATTCTCGACAATACATATGGGATCAATAGCATATTGATTTTATTACGCCATGCCAGGAAGTTGTCGAGTTCTCAGTAAACCTGTATAACCAAAATAGTTTTACTATAATTAAAGAAATGTATATCTCTCGACATATTCAAATCCCCTTTAGTTAAAGTAATAAACAATGCACTTTTATTTAAAAACAAACTACGATTTTAATAAGTTATCATATAGCATTTAAAAACGAGTAGAAAGAATAAAACAGTATTACCTAAAGAGAGCAAAATATGTTGCACACTTAAGCGACTGTCAACAGAAGCGAGTGACTGATAACCGTTAGGCAATTTAAAATTTTAATGAATAGCGATTATCATAGAAGCTGGTAAGGCAGGGGTAATAAGCATTTTGTAACTTCATAAAAATAGAAACATAGTACTATAAAAGTAAAAGTCAACGATATAAGGTAAGAATAGTTAATAAAATTGAAAGAAATAATGAACAAAAACGTAAGTAAAAAATAAATTAAGCTATTTTGTTCAAATCATCCTTTTCAATAATTAAAAGTGACTAAGTATCTTACTTTGTATTTGAATTTTTTTTGTTAATTTTACCCCTTTTGAATTCAGCAAACCACCTAAAAATTGTTGCTGATTGTAACCGTTAAAACCAAATTTAAAATCATAATAGATCATAGCGCGCAAATGTGCACGATTTAGATCTGTAGTTTTAAATAAAAAGTACGGGAAGCTTTACAGGAAAATTAATAGAACTTCACTATTACTATTTTTAATGAATTTGCTTTTTAGAAACATATAACACGATTGCGTTCCATTTTTAGATTTCGAGCATCTAAAAACTTATTGAGTGACCTACAAATTATTGTTTAACGTAACGATTTATAAAATTGATACTGATGGCCTTCTCTTTGGTATTATATATTCGGTAGTAGTTTACTCGGTAGTTTGTTTAAGATTTTTCGAATTCATACCCAACTGCTTTTCCCATATACTCCGAGATATCAAATAGGTTTTTTTTGGGCTTTAGAGAGTACCCTATACCTCTATATTACTCAGCCGAGACCGTTGTTCCTTTGTCTCAATAACACTTTTAGACTTTGTTATCTCAAGGTTTGCCATGGTGAGAGAGTTTTGAATCTCTACTATCTGAAATACAACACGTTCCAAACTGGAGACACGATCTTGAAAAGGATTTAACTGAACTACTCTTGTACTCACAATACTCCTTCAGATGAATTATTTCAACTTTAATCGATTTGACGTACTCGATAAAAATTTGAACTGTAGTAACCAGCTTTTTCAATAACATTGAAAGTCGCCGACTCCTGTTGACCAGGATCGTCACCAGGAGTTACTTCGGAATTTGGACAAAGCTTAGCTTAGCTGGAGGAAATCATATTGCACTGAAAATATTTCCATTGAGCTTTTTGACCTGCACCTAAGTTCCCAGAACCTCGTTCCGTTAAACCAGCGCAACCAAGGTCAAAGTGACTTTTACAAACATAGCATTGCGATCCATCGTTGAACTAATTTGAACATGATGCACAGATGTTCATCGTTGGAGTAACGGTACCAATGACTACAATTGTGAAGTAAAAAGTTTGGTTATATATGCTATATATCGTAAGTCGACGTAGATATCTAAACAAGAGTGCAAACCTTCTATACGCGTGCGCCTGTGTCCTGCGCTCACTGCTAACTGTGTATGGTGAGCGTGGATAACCACTGACCTTTTTTATTTGTAATGAGACATCACATTCTGAGGGGTTGAACGTGTCAGCATTTTGGATACGTAAAGAGAATAAATGTAGATGTCTATGGGCTACAGCATCCACTTACCATTAGATGGAATGTGTGCTTGTTTTGAATAAAACTATATTTACGGATTTTATCGCGTTTAATTACTACTCCCGGCGTTTCGGGTAATTTACAGCACCCATGGTCACGGGGGGGACTGAGATGTTTGACGTCCCAATGTCATAGTTAGCCCAGCTACCTTCAGGTTTTTAATATTAATTTTCGGTCTGATCTACGCAGAACGAGATTACAGTATCTTAAAGTCTTGCAGTGGTATGCTTGGGTTTGGGTTTAATTTTGTTAATTATAGGATCCCAAGCAGATGGCAGCACCATCCATCTTTTCTATTGAAATTAGGATGTTTTCAATTTTAATAGCCTCGCATATCATCCTTGGTAGAAATCGGTGTTCTTTTGCGAGTATTTATGGTTTATCAAATCTGATGTAATGGTGGAGATGATTTTGAACATGTTCACAGACTGCAGACTTCCCGGAACGTCGGTGCTTCACGTCAGCTATATGTTCTTTCACGGAGGTTTTTATGGATCTTTTTGTTTGACCTATGTAAGAGAGACCACATTCACAATCTAAATTGTACACTCCTGCTTCTTGTAGAGGGAATATCCATCACTTGATCACTTGACGGATGGTAAAAATTGACAAATTTTCTTCGACGGCTTGTAGTATGTCTTAATGGACGCTCGCTTCAAGATGTAGCCAATCTTGTCCGTGACTCCTCTGACATATGGTAGTAGAGCTCAGTCACCGTGTGCTCGACTGTGCCGGCTTCACTCGGTCACTGTGACGTACGTGCGGGACCCGAAGCTTGTTTTTTTGCAATACTTGCTTGACGTGCTGAAGCTCGGTGGCCAGATGTTTTCTGTCACAGATCCCTCGTGCTCTCTGAAACAAAGATTTACACACGATAGCTAACTGTGAAGGATGATGGTGAGATTCAACATTTAAATATCGCTTGATGTGGGTATTTTTCCTATACGCAATATGACCAATAGTGTTTTCAGGATTTCGGATGACTAAAACATCTAGGAAACCTAAAGAATTATTTGCCTCTAACTCCATTGTGAATTGTATTTTAGAGTTTATAGAGTTAAGGTGGTCTAAAAATGCATATCATGAATGAGATCATATTCATATTTTTGTAATTCCCTTTTCTCGCAATTCTTCAATTAAAGTAACGTCCAATTTATCAAGATACAAAACGTAATTAAGAAGTCGAACTCATCGCGCCACTTATCGAAAAGGCAGAACAATGTCTTTACTATCAACTGTTTATTTATATTTTAGATTTACATTAAAGAGTCTTACTTTTTACAAAGTGCACACTTTTTTTCTCAAAATATGTATTAGAATTTATTATTTGCATGGCATTAAACGTCAAGTAGAGTACCTAACAAAATTAATTCACTAACACTAACCCGCAATGCACATAATTTTCGCAAAAAAGGAAATACTATGGGCACCATTAAGTAAAATAATACAATTTCCAGTTTGTGTGGTTGAATTATTCATGTGCAGAATCTATAAACCAGTCCGCAAGAACATTTTACAAAGCAAACAAATTTTATTGATCTCTTAGGCGCTGTTTGCGCAGCCACAATAAAATATTTACATTCACTTAACCACGCTTGGTATTACTTGATATAAATAACGTAAAATATGTAACATTACAAGAGAACTTAAACAGCTGTCAAATAAAAATTGAGTTACAATACCTTAAATGACTGCAAACTCGGAAGTCATGGGTTAGAATCTAATATTTGACTAATGTCGGGAACCACTCCTATCACGAGCATTTTCAGCTTACTTGGTTGAAAGGAATATTAATTCCTTAAATTACATGAAACCCCATTATGGGTTTTTACTGCCGCTACTGGCGATCCCCAAGGTTGGTTTAACAGTAGTAGAGCCCTGTTTAACAGTGTTAGAGCCACGCAGCAGCCTTTTCAATTGCACGTATGGGCCGACTCAAACCGGGGTGGTACCACGACCACACAGAAGACCGGCGTGAAGTAGAAGCTATTTTTCTGCATTTCGTCTGGTGAGTGCAGGTAGCCGTAGGTCCCATCCCCCCCCCCTCTTAACATGGTTGTGGAGTTAAATATAAGACTACCACAGGAGGGTACCAGTAGGTGTAGTCGTAGGTAGGTGAAGGTGAGGGAGAAGCCCTCGCTGAGCATCCACGCCCAAACTCCCCTACTCTTCCTGAGCGTGGATGCTCTGGCTTTCCCTCTTATTCTGAGGGGGGCAAAATCCGGCTCGAGACTAAACCTGTTCGGAGCATACGGAGCAATAAGTCAAAGTTTCTCCTGCCACGCTATTCATGGATTTCTGCAACATCAGGGTACTTCTTTTAAACCCGAACGCCGTCCATTAACATCTGGAAATGGCGAAGCTGGCCTTGCTCTTTCTAATCGAAACACAGGTGTCCTCTCCGACTGACATTTTACATCTCTCCTACCCGGGGTATAATAGAATACACTTTTTTGCCCTGGGCTGGAGTTTGCATGTACGTCAGATAGGACATCTGTTTTCGACGCCTCGGCAATTTTGAAGGTA